AAAACCAAAAAAAAAAAAAAAAAAAAGGAAAAAAGAAAAAAACTAGTGTATTTACACTTATATCAGACAAAATAGACTTTAAAGCAAAGACTGAAATAAAAGACAAAGGTAGTCATTATAGAGGGGCTCATCCCACAAGAGGATATAATACTTGTAAATTTTAAGCAGTCAACATAGGAGCTCCTAAAATGTAAAGCAAATATGAACAGAAATAAAGGGAGAAATAGAGAGCAATACAATAATTAATACTCCCTCTTTCATTAGTGGATAGATCATTCAGACAGAAAATCTATCAGGAGACACTGACATAAAGCGACATGTTAGACCAAATGGACTTAATAGACATACACAGAACATCCATCTAAAACTATCAGAATACAAACTCTTATCAAGTACACATGGAACATCCTTCATGATAGACATATGTTATATCACAAAACAAGTCTTAATAATATTAAGAAGATTGAAATTATATCAAATATCTTTTCTGATTATATTTATAATCAGATATATATATCAGAAATGATATATATATATAATCAAAAATGAAAGAGGATACATACAACTGATATCAGAGAAATATAAAGGCTCATGAGAGACTACTATGAACAATTATACACCAATAAATTGGAAAACATAGAAGAGATGGATAAATTCCTAGAAATATACAACCTACCAAGACTGAATCATGAAGAAATAGAAAATCTGAAAGACCAATTACTAGCAAGGAGATTAAATCAGTGATCAAAAACCTCCCAACAAACAAAAGTCCAAGACCAGATGGCTTCACTGGTGAATTCTACCAACATTTAAAAAGGATTAATGCCAATCATTTTGTAACTCTTCAAAAATATAGAAGAGGAGGGAACACTTCCAAAGTCATTTTATGAGGCCAGTGTTACCCTGATACCCAAACCAGAGAAAGACACCAGAAGAAAAGACAATTACAGGCCAATACCTGAAAAACATAGGTGTAAAAATCTTCAACAAAATATTAGCAAACTGAATTCAACAATACATTAAAAGGATAATACACTTTGATCAAGTAGGATTCATTCCAGGGATGCAAGGATGGTTCAATATCCACAAATCAATGTGATGCACCACATTAACAAAATGAAGTATAAAAAGCATATGCTCATCATCTCAATAGATGCACAAAATGCATTTGATAAAATTAAACAATTTTTATGATGAAACTTTTAACAAAGTGGGTGTAGAGGGAACATACCTCAATGTATAAAGCCTATATATGACCAGCTCACACTGACTTTATACTCAATAGTAAAAAGCTTTTCCTCTAAGATCAGGAAAAAGATAAGAATGGTCACTCTCACGACTTTTATTGAACATAGTATTAGAAGTCTTAGCTAGAGTAATTAGGCAAGAAAAAGAAATAAAAGGCATCCACTCAGAAAGGAAGAAGTAAAACTTTCACTATTTTCAGATGATGTGATATTATACACAGAAAACCCTAAAAACACCACCAAAACTTGAATTAATAAATGAATTTGGTGAAGTTGCAGGATACAAATCAATGTACAAAAATCTTGTGTGTTTCTATACACTAATAATAAACTATCGGAAAGAGAAATTAAGAAAACAATCCCATTTACAATAGCATCAAAAAGGATAAAATATCTAGGAATAAATCTATCCAAGGAGGTGAAAAATCTGTACCCTGAAAACTATAAGACAATGATGAAATAAAGTGAAGACACAAATAAATGAAAGGTAGTCCCTGTTCATGGATTGGAAGGGTTAATATTGTTAAAATATCCATACCACCCAAACAATCTATAGATTCAATACAATTCCTATCAAAATTCCAATGGCATTTTTCACAGAAATAGAACAAACAATCCTAAAATTTGTTTGGAGCCACAAAAGAATCCAAATAGTCAAAGAAATCTTGAAAATGAACAAAGCTGGAGGCATCATACTTCTAGGTTTTAAACTATATTACAAAGTTACAGTAATCAAAACAGTACGGTATTGGCATAATAACAGACACATAGTTCAATAGAACAGACAGCCTAGAAATAAACTCATGCATATAAGGTCAGATAGTTTATGATAAAGAAGCCAAGAATACACAGTGGGTAGAGGACATTCTCTTCAATAAATGGTGTTGAGAAAACTGGACAGCCACATGCAAAAGAATGAATCTGGACTACCATCTACACCATATACCAAAACTAACATAGAATGCGTTAAAGACTTGAATGTAAGACCTGAAACAATAAAACTCGGGACACCTGGGTGGCTCAGTCGGTTAAGCGTCTGCCTTCAGCTGAGGTCATGATCCCAGGGTCCTGGGATCGAGTCCCGCATCGGGCTCCCCGCTCTGCGGGGAGCCTGCCACTCTCTCTCCCTATCTCTCATGAATAAATAAATAAAATCTTTAAAAAAAAAAAAAAAGAAACAATAAAACTCCTGGAAGAAAACATAGGGGCTAAGCTCTTTGACATTGGTCTTGGCAATTATTTTTTAGATTTGACACCAAAAGCAAAGGCAACACAGGCAAAACTAAACAAGTGGGACTGCATTAAACTAAAAACTTCTGCATAGCAAAGGAAACCATCAACAAACTGAAAAGGCAACCTACTGAATAGGAGAAAATATTTGCAAATCATATATCTGATAAAGGGTAAATATCCAAAATATACTTTCAAAACTCATACAGTTCAATAACAACAACAACAACAACAAAAAGCCCAATCTGAATAAAACATGGGCAGAGGATCTGAATAGACATTTTTCTAAAGAAGAAATATAGATGGGCAACAAGCATATGAAAAGATGCTTAACTTCACTTATCATCAGAGAAATGTAAATTGAAATCACAATAAGATATTACTTCACACTTGTTAAAATGGCTGTCATCAAAAAGAAAAAAATAACAAGTGTTGGTGAGGATGTAGAGAAAGGGAACATTTTTGCATTGTTAGTGGGAATGTAGATTGGTGCAGTCACTGTGGGAACAGTATGATTTCTCAAGTAATTAATAGAACTACCATATGATCCAGCAATTCCACTTCTGGGTATTTATCTGAAAGAAAGGAAAACACTAACTCGAAAAGCCATACATACCCCATGTTCACTGCAGCATTATTTATAATAGCCAAGATATGGAAGCAATCTAAGTGTCCATTGCTCGATGAACGCATAAGGAAAATGTGACATATATATAAACTATTCAGTCAAAAAAGAAGGAAATATTGCCATTTGTGATGACATAGATGGACTTTGAGGGCAATATGCTAAGTGAAATAAATCAAAGAAAAATACCATATGAGCTATACTTAGAATCTGAATATACCAAAATCTTAGATAAAGAGAATAGATTGGTGGTTGCTAGAGGCAAGGCATGGGGGTGGGAAAAATGGGCAAAGGGGACCAAAAGGTGCAAACTTCCAGTAATAAAATAATTAAATTACAGGGATGTAATGTACTACCTGATGACTCTAGTTATTAATACCACATTGTATATTTGAAAGTTGTTAAGAGAGTAGATCTTAAAAGTTTATCTAACAAGGAAAAAAATTTATAAGTATGTGTGGTGATGGATTTAACTAGAATTGTGTTTGTAATTATTTCAAAGTATATACAAATATCAAATCGTGTTGTACACTTAAAACTAAGATAATGTTATATGTCAATTACATCTCAATCAATCAATATTTTCATTATAATTGTTTTACACATTAAAGTCTGTTTCATACTGATGATGGATCTTCTTTAAGGGTCTTTTGATTTGAAAATTCATTTCGGACTTATACCTAGAATTAATATGAAGACCACTGACTTATTATTTGCATCATTACATTTTTTATTCATGTATTATCCAGTTTAAGTGTGGTATACCTTTACAACCAACTGCAATATGTAAAGAAAAGGAATATAATAATGGAGACAGACAGAAAAGGGCAGAGGAAACACCCCCCAGAAATAAAATACAGTACCTTGTTGAATTGAGTGGCATTTTGCTACATGGGATGGCTTTAGAAAATTCTACAGTGCCTTCTCCTCCCTCCAAAACGTGGAGCCTAATTCTCCTCCCCTTGAGTATGCTGGACTTAAAGACTCACTTCTAAAGACTAGATATGGCTAAAGAGACAATGCATGACTAGTTTGTAAGTGGGTTCCATCTCTCTCAGATCACAAGCTCTGGAGAAAGCTAGCTGCTCTATAAGTAGCCTATGGAGATGCCCATGCAGTAAGGTACTGAGGCTTCCTGCCAAAAACCTGATGAGTGAGCCATCTTAGAGGCAGTCCTCCAGCCCAGCCCAGACATCACGTGACTGTAGCCTAGGTCAACATCTTGACTACAACACAAGAAGTGTCTGGCTCAGAACTAGCTAGTTAAGCCACTCCCAAATTCCTGACCCATAGAAACTCTGAGGTGATAAAAGTTTGTTGTTTGAAGCCAATATATTTTGAGGGAAATTTGTTACACCTAAATAAATAACTAACACATTAGGTGTTAGATGACACTAGTCTTACCGAATGTTTTAGTTCAGATATTAGAATTAAATTAGAGAAATCTATGTTCATACACATGCATATTTAACATTAAATAGCAAAAAGTAAAGAATTTTTAATATTCAAAACCATGTTTTTGATCCTGCTTAGAATTGTCTACTTTGGGGCGCCTGGTGGCTCAGTCATTAAGCATCTGCCTTTGGCTCTGGTCATGATCTCAGGGTCCTGGGATCGAGCCCCACATCGGGCTCCCTGCTCAGTGGGAAGACTGCTTCTCCCTCTCCCACTCCCCCTGCTTGTGTTCCCTCTCTCGCTGTGTCTCTCTCTGTCAAATAAATAAATAAAATCTTAAAAAAAAATTGTCTACTTTGAAGAGAAAGGAATGTCTCTGTAGCCTCTTCTTTACATACACGGTAAGGCAAATATTTGGATTTATTGTGTCCCCATTTTTGTTGTTGTTTAAGAGACAGTAACTTCAGAATTAAGAAGTAGGTCAAGATATGAATGGAACTTACAAGTACATCTTGGAGGAGGTTGCCAGCCTGTACTAGTACATGTTGCCGTATTTACATGGGTCGCAGGATAAAAGCCACTTTTACAGTAATATGTGATTTCATCTCCCGTTCTGTATTGGATGGCTTGAGGTCTGTAGACACCATTTGGAATATAAGGAGAAGTACATGCTACTTCTGGGGGAAAAAAAAAAAGGACATGTGGATAATGTAGCCATTAAATATATCCATTAAAATAATCAAGTACATAAAAATAAAGGTGGTGGATATTATTTTTTTGTCCCTATCCCAGCACAAAAGGGGATTAAAATGAGTATAGTCTCATATCCTTCCCACCATATCACTCATGTCCTACCACTATAAGTCTCATATGATAGATCTGTGCCCCCTGGACTATTGAATCCTCTTTCTCCAAAGCCATTGCATACATCATTATATCCTGTCCGTATGTGGCAATAAATTCATGACATATCACTTCGACTATTCTTTCCAATGATTCTTCAACTTCCTTGGCATCTGTGGTTCTCATCCAAGTTTCTTCCTTCCAGACACTTGGTAGGATTGCATATCCCTACCCATTTGAGGTAGACATGGCCCTATGATTTGCATAAGACAATGAAATGAGTGTAAAGTAACATGTTTCCCTTCAGGGAGGAAGTTTTAAAAGCCATTTTGTGATTTTTTATGTTCTCTTCTCCATAGCTGCAGTGATTAAGGAAAGCCATGGAAAGATGATGTCTCTATCCCTTGATTCTTACAGTTAATATAATGAGCAGAGTCCCTTCAGACCTACATTGGAAGTGAGCATAAACAGGAAATAAACTTTAACTTATGTCAAAGCAAAATTGAATTCAGATTCTGAGGTCTTACCTTGAAGTAGGTAACTTCATTGAAACCTGGAATGATGATTTATTCTAATGTTCATTGACACTTGGAATGATGATTTATTCTAATGTTTATACAGGACAAGGGGACTGATACAAAATAAATGGTTTACAAGTTATATTTTGATGACTGGATGGATAATTTAACAATCTAAATATTTAAGTGGGGCTCTGGAAGTACAACATATGGCAGAAGTTAATGCCAGAGGACTTGTGCACTCACGTTCTTTGTGTAGGAACTGTGACTGCCATGAAGACAAACAGCTGAATTCTACACATCACCAGCTGAACATGGATCTAACGTGAGTGATCACTGTTCTATGTTCATTAACCTCTTTGTAGAATATTCTTAATAATGTCTGAAAGTGAAGGTCACTCAATTGTAGGAGGATGTATTTTCCAAGGAGCTCTTGAGTTTGTGGACTCAACCAATTTTTTTTTTTGGTGGAGGGAGTGCCTGGCTGGCTCAGTTGACAGAGCATGTGACACATGATCTCAGGGTTGTGAGTTCAAGCCCCATGTTGAGTATAGAGCTTACTTAAAATTATAAAAAGTCAACCAAATTTTTTTTGGTATTTTTTTTATTATGTTATGTTAATCACCATACATTACATCATTAGTTTTTGATGTAGTGTTCCATGATTCATTGTTCATGTATAACACCCCAGTCCTCCATTCAGTATGTGCCCTCTTTAATACCCATCACCAGGCTAACCCATCCCCCCACCCCCTCCCCTCTAGAACCCTCAATTTTTTTTTTTCTCAGAGTCCATAGTCTCTCATGGTTCATCTCCCCCTCCGATTTTCCCCCTTCATTTTTCCCTTCCTGCTATCATCTTTTTTTTAACATATAATTCAACCAATTTTTTTAAAAAAGAATAAAATCGACTCAAAAGCTAACTCTAGTTATTATAAAAGAGGATTATTAAACAAGGTTTATACATGTAATTATGAATCATATGATTAAAAGTTCAGAGGGCTCTTAAGAGTTCAACTCTTCTCACCATTTCCCCACCACCCTGGCCCACAGTATGATAATATCTGTAAAACTCACCCTTTTAGAAAGGCACTTGACCTCTGATTTCATGTATGATAGCACTTGTTACTTGTATCACTCACTGCTGCAGACCTCAACAGAAGTTGACTCACTCTTTTCCATAAATGTTTGCAAATATCTCAACATTGTTGTTACCATGCTATAACTGTATCTTCTTGCTATTCTTCTCATGATATGATTTCTTAAACTCAACTATCTACATTCTCTCTTTTAGGTCACTATAGTTTGAAACCATCTCTTTTAAAATGAGGTGGCCTAAGTAGAACACAATATTCCAGACTTTTGGTGGGCACCAAACATAGGTGAGATGGATTCTAGCTCTGTACAACATTCTTCCATTCTGAAGCCTAAAAGAGTTTTTGTTTTTTTCCCAGCATCATCATCACTGTTGATTCATATTAGGTCTGTGGTTAATGAAATCTCCAGTTATTTCCACTTAATTCCATTGTCAATGGAGGGTTTCCTCATCTGGTATTAATATAATTTACTTTTTATAGCTAAATGCTAGGCTTTACAAGAGCAATCTGGGAAGTGTATATACCTGGGAATTAGGAAGCCTATTACAACCCTGGCTCTGCTCTAGACTTGCTTTTTGACCACAGACCAACTGTTTAATGAGCTATTGAACGTTTTTGGTCCTTTTACGTCTATCTTCAGAATGAGAGAATTATACTAATTGCTCTCAAAATGGACCTTGCACACAAAATGTTAAGTATATTGTCTTTATAATAGTTGATCCCTGTAAACATTAATACTCCATTGTGAGAAAAAATAAATTGCTTAACTCTAAGGAGTATATGAATGAAAACAATTTATAAAATATACAGCAAAATGTATAGAAAAGAAATATAACATTACCTCTACATGAAGGACTTGGAGTCCATCCAAATTTAGTACATACAGCATCTCCTCTATCACTGTATTCATAACCCTTGTTACATTTATATTGAAGTCGTTCATTTTCTCTGTAAGTTTTCTTCTGAGATGTAGACTGTCCATTTACAATTTCTGGCTCTTGGCAGGAAATTTCTAAATATAAGGGATTAAATTCCAAAATGTTTGTTATATATTAAAGGGCCTTGTCTAAGACATAGTTTTATATTAAAGACACAAATTATGTTTCCATTAGGTAAACCAGTCAACCAAACAAAAGTTCTAACACCTTTGAAAAGTAACTGATTGGTTTTTGCAGCATCACTATCCATTCAAATTTTCTAAAAAAACAAAAACAAAAACAAAAACTGGCCATCATCTGTGACCCCATCTTCTCTCAAACATTTCCCCCTGGGATTACAGCAATAACAAATTTCCCAAATCCAATTCTCCCATCTTTCTAATCCGTTTTTCTGTTTGTAATTTAATGGCCTTTTTTCTTGTCCCTTCATTGCTCCATTTAAAATCCCCCATTGATTCCCAATTCAGTCTGAGTAAAAGCCAAACTCTTCAGCACAACATGTAACACCTTAGAAATTTGTACTGGCCTGTCTTCAATCTGTCACTGACTTACCCCTACTTGCTTCCTACACAAGGGCCCCCAAGGACATAAGAACAGGGGAGCCTCATATTCATGGAAGCGGCCTTGTATTTGTATTCCTCTCCATATGTTCCTGTGACTGGTATGCCTTCTCCCTCCTCAACTTCATTTGAAACATATACATTAGTTATTCCAGAAAAGTTTCACTAACCACAGAAATTTAGTTTTAAGAAGGAAACCCCCTCTGTGAACCTCTAGAACATACAGTATTTGCTGTGTTGAATATAAATATGTTTACCATTACTGACTTGAGGAACCAGTTTGGTTAGAAAAAGTTTTAAGCAGAGGAATGCTTTTCTCTGCATCTCACTGTTGGATAGACTACACTAGGAAAGTGAAAATAATCACGAGATTTTAGATATGTTAAAAAATAAATATGGCAGAAATTTCTGCTGCACAAATACTGGTAATATGAAGTATGGCACTTTTAAATAAATTGACCATAATGTTTCATTACAAAAGCCCCAATCATCAGACTGGTCATAGCAGTATTATAACTAAAGAAATCTTAACTTACAATTTACTATAGAACTTTTTGTAAAAGGCAAAAATTTATTTAGTGGATGCAATTCAGTTCCGCATACTTATCTAAACTCACTCTGTATATATAAAACAGGACCCTTTTCTAGAAGTATTATTCAAGCACAGAAAGTCATTATGATTCATCAGTGGAAATAAATAATGAATTATTCAATTTTCAAATTAAAAGAAAGCCTATTCTACAGGCCAATATTAAAACTTGCAGCAGAAATGCTTACTAGTCTATTTGAGCCATGAAAACCAATCATAATTTAATTATGGTTAAGACCATGGACTTCGGTTTCAGATGATCAAGGTTTGAATCTTAACTCTACCATCTATGCCATGATAACCTTGGGCATGAGATTTAACTTTTTTGCACCACAGTTTCCTTTGTTATAAAATAGAGCATAAATCACAGACATTTTGAAGCTAAAATGGAATGACACATGTGAAGAACTTGGATCAATTACTGGCAAATAGTAAGTGCTCAGTAAATGTTAGTTATTAGTATTATTCATATTCTTTAGGATGCACAATGTTTGAAAATGCATATTTTCATGAGAAAAACTAAAATCATTCAATCACATGAACGGTAAGTGTATCTTACCCACACATTTCGGTGCTTCTCCACTCCAAACACCATTTGCTGAGCAATGGATTTCTGCAGGCCCTTCAAGCTTGAAGCCTGAATTACACTGAAATCGTACTACTTGTCCAAAAGTATGGTCTTGGTCTAGTTCCACGGCAGTACTGGTAAGTCTCCCATTCTCTGGTTCTGTCACTGGTGAACACTTAACAACTGAAAAAATAAATATAACTTTTCCTAATAGAATTTGACAACTTTATTATAAAAAGCATGTATATATTCAGATATGTGGATAAAATCATCAGCAAAGTAAGATTGGGGAAATTACTTAATTTTTTAAAGAAGTATTTGATAAAACTGTTGGATACAAAGACTAGTAAGTTAAACAACAACAACAACAATAAGCTTATCTCTCATTCTTTTCTATGAGAGTGGACAAAGAAAATTACTTCTTTGAATGACAGTTTACATTGTTATAGTAACAAACAAGTGTCTCAAGCTTGGGATAATTAAATGAAAATTTTCATTTAAGCCCCAGAATAATATAACACTGTATAAAAGCCAACTTTCTGATTCTATTTACTTCAATAGACAAATTGTCCTTAATTTTCCTTCCTTTTCCATGTTAGTGCTCAAAATAATTTAAGTACTCCTTTTGATTTTACTTTTTTCCAATATCTCTTAGGTTATGCCATTTTAACTTTATTTTATAGTAGAATCATCCAGGATAGAATTAAAATGTAAATTCTATGGCTATCTCCCAAAAGATACAGGTTTAGAAGGTTTTTAGTAATCAAAATTTTCAGGGTTAAATAAACACCTCAGGTGATTCCAGAGTAGATGTTTCTTAAAACATTTAGATCTTCACCCCCCATTTCCATAGATGAAAGATCTCCTCCTCCTCCTTCTTCTTCTCCTCCCTCCCCCACTTCCTTGCTCTTCCTCCTCCTTCCTCCCTCTCTCCCTTCTTCTGTCCCTCCTCTTTCCCTCTCCCCCTCTACTTATTCCTCACCATGGAATTAAGACTATTCTGACTCATTTCTCTTATTTCTATGATGACTAGAGATTGAGATTACTAACTCAAAAATTGGAAATGGGATCTATATTTTCTTATTCTTATGCTTTGCTTTATGTGTCAGTAAGAAAAAGCAGAGCTCTCTCTTACTTCCTGTCTCTTCTCAGTAAGACTAAGACCACAGGAAAATCTCCCTTGCCACACAAGAGGGGAGAAATGTCTAAATCATGTTCTTCACTTCAGCTGTTACCAGAGATCCTTGCATTTGGGTGGTTATTGGGTGAGAATATCTTCATGAATAAAGCTGAAATTCTGATACTTGTGTTTTTTTCTAGTGGTTAGAATCCAAAAGGAAAGGAAAATAGGTTTTAGATTTCCTAATCTCTAATACTTTGAATATTAGGTCAGATGAGTCTGTATTCATATTTGGTTAATGAAACACAAAATAATGTAGTAATAAAAAGCTTAGATATCCATTCTGTACTATATTAGAAGCTACAAAAATACTTTAAGTAAAAAATATTTAATTACAAATTTTAAGGATATTTTAATGTAAGACATTTCAAAAACTCTTAGATATTTTAAATATTTGAATATATTAGTGAATCAATTTTACATATACCTTCACAAAGAGGAATATCATTGGTCCATCCATCTGGTTCACACTCACGGAAATTAATCCTACCTAGCAACTGATACCTGAAAACCAAAAATAACAGAGTGGTGAGCTAATGGGTATTTATATGCAATTTTGATACCATTCTGAATGTCCAGAAACTCCATTTCAGAGAAAATTAACACCATATGCATTTCCTGCCTTCCTTTCTCCTTCCCTTCCTTCCTCCCTCCCACCTTCCTTCCTACCTTCGTCCCTCCCTCCCTCCCCATCTCCCTTCTTTCCTTCCTTCCTCCTTTCCATCTTCCCTCTCTCCCTCCCCTCCTCTTCCTTTTCCTTTTCTTTCTTTTCTCTCTCTTTTTCTTAAATTTCTTCTCTTTCTTTCTTAAGCTTCTTTCTTACTTAAGAAAGGCCCTCAAGTCCTCAGGCACATGGACTTGGAAGAGTCATAATCTTTGGTTCACAACATGAACTCATTATGATTTTGTGCACAATATCTTTTTATCTTTTCATTCAGTCAGTTAGTTACACTTAACAATGTTATAACCTCTTTGAACCCAAACCAAAATCCAAAAACATGGTTCAATAACATTCAAAGAAAGACAAAGTATTTTTTTTCAAAGATTTTATTTATTTATTTGACATCGAGATAGAGAGGGCACAAGTAGGCAGAGCGGCAGGCAGAGGGAGAGGGAGAAGCAGGCTCTCCACTAAGCAGAGCTGGACGTGGGGCTTGATCCCAGGACCCTGGGATCATGAACTGAACTGAAGGCAGCCACCCAACTGACCGAGCCACCCAGGTGCCCCAAGACAAAGTATTTTTTGAGGGAGAAAGTTTTTCTTTTCTTGTGTAATGGGTGAAATAATCCTTATTTGCAGATGAAGGAAATATTTGTCTAGATAGAATTATTTAGAAATTTATGGAAGTTCTGTTCTCAAAATTATCTCTCTTGTGGTTATCAAAATGTTGCCCATTACTTTGTTTTGGAGAAAAAGCTTTTTACCTCTAGCTGTTCACTGTAATATTAAGAAGGATGCTTTGCCTTGATCTAAAGCCTCTGGTAATGATTGCACATTTTGCATCTGCCCCAAGGAACTCCCATTCAAGTAGAGCATTTTAGATTTTAAGGATGGGGTTAATGAGTTACCACAGTTAGATAAATTTGACATTGAATGGCTTATATATGCAGACCTGACTTGATGAGTACACTCTGGAAAAATTAATTAATTAAAAATAATAAAAAAATTAAAATTAAAATAAACCACATGCTAAGAAATTTGGACTAGTGCTATCCTTGATTATGTAAAAAGTCCAAAATGTTCCAAAAATATCATAATTGTGGAGGGTGGGAGTATGGAGCACAGTGCAGGGATCTACTGGGTTTGGAGACTCCACACAGGGTCAGGTGCTAGAGATAGAAATGCTCAGTCACAGGCAAGGTGAGCATGGAGTGCAGCTGGAGACCGGGGAGATGGGAGTGATTGACTGCTTTTCTCTGGGGGCTCACTGAGGAGCGGGTCCCAAGTTCTAGGCTCCTCCAGGGCGGAGATTGGGAGGCTGTCATTTTCACTCTGGTCCTCCAAAGCTGTATGGAAAGCTTGTAGGGAACAAAAGCTCCCAAGAGCAAACCTGAGCAGATTACTTAGCCCAGACCTGGCAAGGGTGGGGCAATTCCACCTTGGGCAAAGACATTTGGGAACCATGGCAACAGGCTCCTCCCCCAGAAGATCAGCAAGAACAGCCAGCCAAGACCAAGTTTACCAATCAATGAGAATGGCAAAACTCCAGTGCTAGGGGAATACTGCACATAGAATTCATGGTTTTTTTACAATGATTCTTTAGTTTTTCAAAGTTAATTTTTTTAAAAAGATTTTATTTATTTGAGAGAGAGAGAATGAGAGAGAACACATGAGAGGGGGGAGGGTCAGAGGGAGAAGCAGACTCCCTGCCGAGCAGGGAGCCTGATGCGGGACTTGATCCAGGGACTCCAGGATCATGACCTGAGTCGAAGGCAGTTGCTTAACCAACTGAGCCACCCAGGTGCCCGAAAGTTAATTTTTTCTTAACTGTCTTTTCTTTTTTTTTTTTTTTAATTTTTCTTTTTCCATTTTTTAACCAACATCTTATCAATCCCTTTTTTAAAAAATATTTTTTATTTTTCATTTTTAGAGTCATATTCTATCCCTTCATAGTAGTTATCCTTATTTTTGGTGTATATATATAAGTAGTTCTCTATTTAAAATTTTGAGATACTGTTTCTTCTAACAGATCAAAATATACCATAAATCTCTAGTGTATGGCTTTGTTCAAGTCTCCTGCCTGATCACATTCTCTCCCCCCTCTTTTTTTTTTAAATCCTCTTATTTCTTTTTTCAACCAGTTTCTTATCTTATCAATTCCTTTTATAAATTATTTTATAATTTTCATCTTTACAGTCATATTCCATCCCTTCATCGTATTAACCCTTATTTTTGTATATATATAAGTTTTTTTTCTTTAAAATTTTGGGAGGCAGTTTCTTCTAACAGACCAAAATACACCCAAAATCTAGTGTGTGGCACTGATCTATGCAACAGCCTGATCATATTTGATCATATTCTGTTTTTGTTTTGTTTTGTTTTTGTTTATTTTTATCTTTTTCTTTTTTCTTTCTTTCCCTTTCTTTTCCCCTGGTTTCATTCAGGTCTTTTCTGATTTATTTAGTGTCTATTTTCTGGGGACGTTGTTACCCTGTTAGCATTTTGTTCTCTCATTCATCTGTTCTCCTCTGGACAAAATGACAAGATGGAAAAAATCACCTCAACAAAAAGAACAAGAGGCAGTACTGACTGCCAGGGACCTAATCAATACGGACATTAGTATGATGTTGAAATAGAGTTCAGAATGATGATTTCAAAGATACTAGCTGGGCTTGAAAAAAGCTTGGAAGTTATTAGAGAAATGCTTTCTGGAGAAATAAAGGAACTAAAATCTAACCAAGTCAAAATCAAAAAGGCTATAATGAGGTGCAATCAAAAATGGAGGCTCTAACTGCTAAGATAAATGAGGCAGAAGAGAGAATCAGTGATATAGAAGACCAAATGATGGAAAATCAAGAAGCTGAGAAAAAGAGAGATAAACAACTACTGGATCACGAGGGCAGAATTCGAGAGATAAGCGATACCATAAGATGAAACAACATTAGAATAATTGGGATCCCAGAAGAAGAAAGAGAGAGAGGGGGCAGAAGGTATATTGGAGAAAATTATAGCAGAGAACTTCCCTAATTTGGGGAAGGAAACAGGCATCAGTATCCAAGAAGCACAGAGAAACCCTCTCAAAATCAATAAAAATAGGTCAACACCCTGACATCTAATAGTAAAACTTACAAGTCTCATAGACAAAGAGAAAATCCTGAAAGCAGCTCAGGAGAAGAGATCTGTAACCTACAATGGTAGAAACATTAGATTGGCAACAGACCTATCCACAGAAACCTGGCAGGCCAGAAAGGACTGGCATGATATATTCAGAGTACTAAATGAGAAAAACATGCAGCCAAGAATTCCATATCCAGCTAGGCTGTCATTGAAAATAGAAGGAGAGATAAAAAGCTTCCAGGACAAACAGAAACTAAAGGAATTTGCAAACACGAAACCAGCCCTACCAGAAATATTGAAAGGGGTCCTCTAAGCAAAGAGAGAACCTAAAAGCAACATAGACCAAAAAGGAACACAGACAATACACAGTAACAGTCACCTTACAGGCAATACAATGGCACTAAATTCCTATCTTTCAATAGTTACCCTGAATGTAAATGGGCTAAATGCCCCAATCAAAAGACACAGGCTATCAGATTGGATTAAAAAACAAGACTCATCGATATGCTGTCTGCAAGAGACTCATTTTAGACCCAAAGACACCCCCAGATTGAAAGTGAAGGGGTGGACAACCATTTACCATGCTAATGGACACCAAAAGAAAGCTGGGGTGGCAATCCTTACATCAGACAAATTAGATTTTAAACCAAAGACTGTAATAAGAGATGAGGAAGGACACTATATCCTACTTAAAGGGTCTATCCAACAAGAAGATCTACCAATTGTAAATATCTATACCCCTAACATAGGAGCAGCCAATTATATAAGGCAATTAATAACAAAAGGAAAGAAACACATCGACAACAATACAATAATAATGGGGGACTTTAACACCCCCCTCACTGAAATGGACAGATCATCTATGCAAAAGATCAACAAGGAAATGAAGACTTTAAATGACACACTGGACCAAATGGATTTCACAGATATATTCAGAACTTTCCATCCCAAAGCAACAGAATACACATTCTTCTCTAGTGCCCATGGAACATTCTCCAGAATAGATCACATCCTAGGTCACAAATCAGGTCTCAGCTGGTACCAAAAGAATGGGATCATTCCCTGCCTATTTTCAGACCACAATGCTTTGAAACTAGAACTCAATCACAAGGGGAAAGTCAGAAAGAACTCAAATACATGGAGGCTAAAGAGCATCCTACTGAAGAATGAATGGGTCAACCAGGAAATTAAAGAAGAATTAAAGAAATTCATGGAAACCAATGAAAATGAAAACACAACTGTTCAAAATCTTTGGGATGTAGCAAAGGCAGTCCTAAGAGGAAAGTATATAGTAATACAAGCCTTTCTCAAGAAACAAGAAAGTCTCAAACACACAACCTAACCCTACACCTAAAGGAGCTGGAGAAAGAACAGCAAATAAAGCCTAAACCCAGCAGGAGAAGAGAAATAATAAAGGTCAAAGCAGAAATCAATGAAATAGAAACCAAAAGAATAATAGAACAGATCAATGAAACTAGAAGCTGGTTCTTGGAAAGAATTAACAAGATTGATAAACCCCTGGCCAAACTTATCAAAAAGAAAAGAGAAATGACCCAAATCAACAAAACCATGAATGAAAGAGGAGAGATCACAACCAACACCAAAGAAATACAAACAATTATAAGAACATATTATGAGCAACTCTATGCCAGCAAATCAGATAATCTGGAAGAAATGGATGCATTCCTAGAGATGTATCAACTACCAAAACTGAACCAGGAAGAAACAGAAAACCTGAACAGACCTATAACCACTAAGGAAATTGAAGCAGTCATCAAAAATCTCCCAACAAACAAAAGCCCAGGGCCAGATGGCTTCCCAGGGGAATTTTACCAATCATTTAGAGAAGAATTAATACCTATCCTTCTAAAACTGTTCCAAAAAATAGAAATGGAAGGAAAACTTCCAAACTCATTTTATGAGGCCACCATTACCTTGATTCCCAAACCAGATAAAGATCCCATCAAAAAGGAGAATTACAGACCAATATCCTTGATGAACATGGATGCAAAAATCTCACCAAAATACTAGCCAATAGGATCCAACAGTACATTAAAAGGATTATTCACCACGACCAAGTGGGATTGATCCTGGGCTGCAATGTTGCTTGAACATTTGCAAATCAATCAATGTGATACACTACATTAACAAAAGAAAGAACAAGAATCATATGATCCTCTCAATAGATGCATTAAAAGCATTTTACAAAGTACAGCATCCTTTCTTGATCAAAACTCTTCAGAGTATAGGGATAGAGGGCACATATCTCAATATCATAAAAGCCATCTATGAAAAACCCACAGTGAATAACATTCTCAATGAGCAAAAACTTAGAGCTTTCCCCCTAAGGTCAGGAACGCAGCAGGGATGTCCACTATCACCACTGCTATTCAACATAGTATTAGAAGTCCTAGACTCAGCAATCAGACAAGAAAAAAATAAAAGGTATCCAAATCAGCAAACAAGAAGTCAAACTCTTACTCTTTGCAGATGATATGATACTTTATGTGGAAAACCCAAAAGACTCCATCCCCAAGGTGCTAGAACTCATACAGGAATTCAGTAAAGTGGCAGGATATAAAATCAATGCACAGAAATCAGTGGCATTCCTATACACCAACAACAAGACAGAAGAATGAGAAATTAAGGATTCGATCCCATTTACAATTGCACCCAAAACCATAAGATACCTAGGAATAAAGCTAACCAAAGAGGCAAAGAATCTGTACTCAGAAAACTATAGAATACTCATGAAAGAAATTGAGGAAGACACAAAGAAATGGAAAAACGTTCCATGCTCATGGATTGGAAGAACAAATATTGTGAAGATGTCAATGCTACCTAGAGCAATCTACACATTTAATGCAATCCCCATCAAAATACCATTCACTTTTTTCAAAGAAATGGAACAAATAATCCTAAAATTTGTATGGAACCAGAAAAGACCCCAAATAGCCAGAAGAATGTTGAAAAAGAAAAGCAAAGCTGGTGGCATCACAATTCTGGACTTCCAGCTCTATTACAAAGTTGTCATCATGAAGACAGTATGGTACTGGCACAAAAACAGACACATAGATCAGTGGAACAGAATAGAGAGCCCAGAAATGGACCCTCAACTCTATGGTCAACTAATCTTTGGCAAAGCAGGAAAGAATGTCCAATGGAAAAAAGACAGTCTCTTCAAAAAATGGTGTTGGGAAAATTGGACAGCCACATGCAGAAGAATGAAACTGGACCATTTCCTTACACCACACACAAAAATAGACTTAAAATGGTTGAAAGACCTCAATGTAAGACAGGAGTCCATCAAAATCCTAAAGGAGAACACAGGCAGCAACTTCTTTGACCTCAGCCGCAGCAACTTCTTCCTAGAAAAATGGCCAAGGGCAAGGGAAGCAAGGGCAAAAATGAACTCTTGGGACTTCATCAAGATAAAAAGCTTTTGCACAGCAAAAGAAACAGTCAACAAAACCAAAAGACAACTGACAGAATGGGAGAAGATATTTGCAAATGACATATCAGATAAAGGGCTAGTATCCAAAATCTATAAAGAACTTATCAAACTCAACACCCAAAGAACAAAGAATCCAATCAAGAAATGGGCAGAAGACATGAACAGACATTTTTCCAAAGAAGACATCGAAATGGCCAACAGACACATGAAAAAGTGCTCAACATCGCTCGGCATCAGGGAAATCCAAATCAAAACCTCAATGAGATATCACCTCACACCAGTCAGAATGGCTAAAATTAACAAGTCAGGAAACGACAGATGTTGGCGGGGATGCGGAGAAAGGGGAACCCTCCTATACTGTTGGTGGAAATGCAAGCTGGTGCAGCCACTCTGGAAAAGCGTATGGAAGTTCGTCAAAAAGTTGAAAATAGAGCTACCATACGACCCAGCAATTGCACTACTGGGTTTTTACCCTAAAGATACAAATGTAAGGATCTGAAAGGGTACGTGCACCCCAATGTTTATAGCAGCAATGTCCACAATAGCCAAACTATGGAAAGAGCCAAGATGTCCATCGACAGATGAATGGATAAAGAAGATGTGGTATATATATATATATATATATATATACAATGGAATACTATGCAGTCATCAAAAGGAATGAAATCTTGCCATTTGCAACGACGTGGATGGAACTGGAGGGTGTTATGCTGAGCGAAATAAGTCAATCAGAGAAAGACATGTATCATATGACCTCACTGATATGAGGAATTCTTAATCTCAGGAAACCGAGGGTTCCTGGAGTGGTGGGGGGTGGGAGAGATGGGGTGCCTGAGTGATGGACACTGCAGAGGGTATGTGCTATGGTGAGTGCTGTGAACTGTGCAAGACTGTTGCATCACAGATATATACCTCTGAAACAAATAATACATTATATGTTAAAAATAAAGAAGAAGAAGATAGCAGGAGGGGAAGAATGAAGGGGGAGAAATCGGAGGGGGAGAAGAACCATGAGAGATGATGGACTCTGAAAAACAAGCTGAGTGTTCTAGAGGGGAGGGGTGTGTGAGGATGGGTTGGCCTGATGATGGGTGTTAGGGAGGGCACGTTCTGCATGGAGCACTGGGTGTTATATGCAAATAATGAAACTTGGAACACTACATCGAAAACTAATGATGTAATGTATGGTTATTAACATAACATAATAATAAAAAAAGAGATTTAGGGAATGTAGTAGAAGGAGTCTATGAGTTTTGATCCCCCCCTTTTTTGATGATTTTATTTATTTATTTACCAGAGAGAGAGAGAGTGCAAGAGTACAAGCAGAGGGTGCGGAATGCAGAGGGGAAGCAGGCTCCTTGCTGAGCAGGAAGCCTGATGCGGAACTCAATCCCAGGACCCTGGGATCATAACTTGAGCCGAAGGCAGATGCTTAACTGACTGAGCCACCCAGGTGTCCCGAGTTTTGATCCCTTTTGCCGGGTCAAATGTGGAACCTACAGGGGCCAGACTAGCCTGGATTGGAAGAGATGTTTCAGAGGTGAGGAATGAGGCAGTTGGAAAGCGTAGGACCAGATGGTCTTCATCTATTTGGTCATGTGTAATTAAAGTCATCAGTAATGATTAAAAGTTGGGCTAAAAATGTCTTTGAAATATCTCCCTCAGGTAGTGGCCAAAGCGAGCCTAAATTCATAAGAACTAAGACTTATGGGTGTCAATATCTTAGGAACTCTTCAAAGGGCTTCAATGTATATCTTATTTATTTCTTCCACCAATCCTATGATGCACCTGTTGTGTTTCTATTTCTAGAATTGAGGAAATGGGAGTTAAGAGTCATTAAAATAATACAGTTATTGAGTTGTGGAGTTTTGGGATGCAGGCTTACTCCAAAGCCTAAGCTTTAAAATATTATATTTTATTGCCTCAAATCAAGAAATAAATGAGAAGAGAATAATAAGAATCAATTTGTAATTTTTTTTAAAAAAGATTATTTATTTATTTATTTGAGAGCGAGAGAGCGAGAGAGTGAGAGAGCAGGGTGGGGGGGGCAGAGAGGGAAGGAGAAGCCGACTCCCCACTGAGCAGGGAGCCTGACTTGGTGTTCCATCCCAGGACCTGGGATCATGACCTGAGCCAAAGGCAGACACTTTCTTAACTGACTAAGCCACCCAAGAGCCAAATTTGTAATTTCTTGATCCTATTTATATTTATGTAGCATAAAATTGTAATGATATTGGTTTTCTCATGTATGAAACTTTCTTCAAAACAATTTTTTGACCTGGCTGAGAATAACAGAAATAAAGAACACTGAAGAGGTATCATAGTGTTAAGATTAGCCATGGAAATCCAGTAGGTGGTTAGAGAACAAAGAGTCAATGACTATGAACATAGTAGTATTTTTGGTTCATGTGATAAGAATAATTTGCAGACCATGGAAACTTAAAGAATGGTAGTTACTATTATGTCAGCGTAAAATATTTGCTTCTCCTAAATTTTATAAGCTTTTATCAAAAGAAGTGCCATGTAATCTGATTTTGTTAACATTCCCACTGTCCCTGGCATATTGAACTCCCATGTACTCTGCACATAATAGAATGTAGTCAGGACTCGTTGGAATAAACCCTTATTTATATGTATACTATTTTCCAGCCCTCCTATAACTACACTCTACCAGAGTAATTATAATCATTTTAATTTTTCAATGTTAAGGAGATAATTTGGTATCCAAATATAATCATTTCCATTATAGTTTAATTTTTCAGACTCCTTGTATGGTACTTATAAAAGTGCTCATAGAAAAATAAAGTAACCTTAAAAATACTAATTAGTAAAGTTCCTATTTAATACCTAAATTATAACTGCCCCAATTATAAGCCTCTTTTAATATTGACTACATACCCCTCATTACATGTGTAAACAACCTTTGCACCATATACAAACTCATTTCTTCTTTCAAGATGAAAAGAACCAAAAGGAGTATCTCCAGGATGTCCACAGGGCCTTTCTAAAATGAAAAAAATAATGATATTATTATGTAGCATGGGGAAACACATTTTATGTAGGAGTTCAAGGAAAATGACATTTGATATTATATCAGAGGACATAATTGAAGATGTGCAAAAGTGAAAAATGTCAATTATCATTTTAAAATTAGACTTATCTGTATGGTTGTTTTTTTTTTTAATTTTAGAAGATTACAACAATTTATTAAGAATAATGATGGTATACGATTTTGTATTTAAATGACAGTTATATAATTCAGCTAATATTGCATCAAACATTCAGTATTTTAATAATTAAGTTTTCATAAATTTCACAAATATATGAATTATTTACCCCGACATATCCTTAATGGATTAAGAGACTCCCATTCTCCATTCCTGCATTCCATTATAATAGCTCCAAGAGTTCTAAATCCAGGTCGGCATTTATATATAGCCTGCATGCCCTCTGGATATGTTTGTTCAGGCCAGGCACCAGACAAAACTTCAGTCTGTTTTCTTGGAGGAGGTCCTTTGCAATCTACAAACAATAAGAACAAAGTAAGTGCTTGAAGTGCTTATTTAAATTTACAATATGTCTAGGTTATTTTTGCTTTTAAAAATACCTATGCTGTTACAGGTCCATCCAAAAGTATGTTTTAACATATATAAAATATATTTTTTACCTTACAGAAATTGAATCAACATAAATTTGTAAAAATAGCTTTCCATAGAAATAGTTTGCCTTTACTATATATATTTTTTAACATATAATGTATTATTTGTTTCAGAGGTACAGGTCTGTGATTCATCAGTATTACACAATTCACAGCACTCACCATAGCACATACCCTCCCTCCTTTACTATGTTTTTTAATCAAAATAATGATTCTATTTATTATTTTATCACTACATTAGACATAAAAATAAATTGAGAAGCTGCAAGTGCATGCCACTTCATGAAGATTATGCAACAATAGAGACAGCCACTGCAGAAAGCTAGAAGTGACTTATCCTTTGGGAATGCAAGTACAGCACACACAAAAGTCATCAAAGGTGGGATTATTGATAATATCTGCCAGCTGGAATTTATGTACAAATGGAAAGTTTTAAAATGAAAATAAGGGAACATTTGCTATCTCTGACCTCTTAGGCAGGGAGTATGGGGGAGATATTATATATATTATTCTTAACTGCTGCACCGCATTCAACTATTCATTCATTGATTTGGAAAATACTTACTGGGCACTATTCTAAGTTCTAAAGAAAAAACAATAAATTTTAAAAGAGACAAAGTACCTGTTCTCAAGTATTTCCATTCTACTAGGGAAGTTAGTTATTAAATAAGTAATTAAATAGATGTATCATATGCATTACAGGTAGATAAATTCTATTTAGAAAACTAAAGCATGGCAAGATGATACAAACTTGAATGGGAACGTTCCAAATACGATGGAATAGGATGGAACAGAACAACATTCCTACTGCAAATTGGAAAAATTCGTGTGTGTGTGTGTGTGTGTGTGTGTTGAAAGGAACTGGAAACTGTGAGAAGAAAAAGGATTAAATAAACTAAACCAAAGTGGGAAGGGCCTGTTTTATGCAAATATACAGTTTTTGGCCATTTCTTATCTGGTCGTGTTTGCCAACTCTGGGTATGGATTGAAGATCAGGCTTTGCCTGAATGGAGGAATGCGATGAGGAAAAGAAAAATGAGACAAGCTTTTGGAGGCATGTCTAACATGAAAAATTCTGAATCCCCGCAGAATGAGTGTGCTCTGCTGGAGCCTAAGTAATTTCTTAAGAGTGGAGTGAAAATTCCTATAGTCTCATAGAAAAAGTCCCAATAAGAAAAGGATCTTGCTTCAAATACACAACTGTATCCTCATCAAGACAGTTGACATATTTGAGTCACTCAGGGTGAGATTTAAGAGCAGAGGTCAAAACATCAGAAAAGCAGGATAAATCTCTCAGAGTGTTCTAGGATGGAGGAAGAAGAGACCAACCAGGTAATTGATAAAAAGCCAAGAAGGTCTTTACCTTGAGACTTTTGAAACCAGAAGTGGACTGACTCAAAATAGAAGTGCAACTCAGACCCATCTGAGTTCGCTTCTTGATTAGATCAAGAAAGAGCAAACACTTGTCAATGGGAGGTAAATAATATAAACATTATTATTACATTTATTTCATGTGAAATGTATGGCTTTGGATAAAAAATTAAAAGACACATAAAGAAGCAAAAAATGTGATCAAGAAATGAAGCAAAAATAAATGGCTCATAGAAGCAGACAGTCAGATCCAGATGTCCGAATTAGTGTCAAGTTTCTTTAAAATAGCTGCTTTAAGTATGTTAAAGGAAATACAGGAAAATAATAGATAAAATGAGTAAAAAGACAAAGATATTCAAAAGAAAACTGATGCTATAAAAATAATCATGTGTTATATAAAATTACAAAATAAATATCCAAAATAAGGATGCATTGGATGGTCTTAAGAGCCAAATGGAGATAGCAGAACACAAATCTGAAGAATATTGGTGTAGAAATATCCAAGTTGAATATAGGAAAACTGTAGAAAACACCAATAACAAATAAAAGAGAGTACAAGAAATGTGTGGAGCAGAGTCAAGTGATATGTGTATGTCTAAATAAAATTCCAAAGCTAGAGAAGAGAAAAGAAAGAAATATTTGAAGAAAGAATAGCTCAAAGGTTTCCAAAATTGATGAAAAAAATCAACTCTCAGAATCAAAAGCTCAAAAAACAAAACAAAACAAGAAAAACAAAACAAAACAAAAAAACTCACAACAAACCAAAAGGGTAAATACAAAGAAAAACTATACGGAGGCTTTGCTGAGAACCAAAGATAAAGGCAAAATCTTAAAAGCAGACAGAGAAATGAACACACATTTCTTTTAGGAGACTAAAAGTAACACTATGTTTGTAAGAGTAACAACTCAGGCATGAAAACAAGGTGCCAGCATTTCTAAAGTGCTGGAAAATAAATGGCAAGAGAACTCTGAACCCAGGGAAAACATACTGCAAAATGAAGGAGAATACAAACACATTCTCAAACAATCCAAAAACAGAGAGAATTCAACAATAGCAGACTGACACTAAGAAAAACCCCACTAAAGCTCTCTAGGTTTGAAGGAAAATGATTCCATATATAAACAAGAAAGGGTAATATTAAATGAACAGAACTGAAGAAAATAAATATATGGGTTAATAAAAAGACTACTGAAAAATAATAAATAACGTGCTATGTATATTTTAGCAACATTTTAAAAAGACTTGATTTGAAATCAATAACAATGTCTTATAGTGTTTGTAAAAAATTCAGGAGTATAATATGTAAAAATAATAACAAAAATGTCAAGAGATAACAAATGAAATTAAACCATTTTAATGTTTACATAGTTTAGAATGTAGTGAAAGTATTGATTAAGGGTAGACTATAATAATTTGAGTATGCTTATTATAAAACATTAATATTAGGAGATATATAACTAATAGAAATGATATAGTGAGGTAGTAAAGAATATTTGATTAATATTTTGAAAAGGCAGGAAAGGAGGAATAAAAGAACAAAGAAGAGATGACACAAAAAATAAACAGCAATATGTTAGACTTGAGCTTAACTGGATCAGTAATTACAATAAATGTAAATGGATTCACCACTCCAATTAAAGTATAAACACTGATTGGAGAAAAACAGGAAATAAAATTGAAGTATATGCTGATTACTTTTGATAAAATGGGACCTGGGTGCCTGGGTGGCTCAGTCGGTTAAGCGTCTGACTCTTGGATTCAGCTCAGGACCTGATCTCATAGCTCCTGGGATTGAACTCCCTGCTGGGCTTCCTGCTCAGCAGAAGTCTGCTTAGATATTCTCTCCCCCTGCCCCTTCCCCTGCTCGGGCTCTCTCTCTCAAATAAATAAATAAATCTTTAAAAAATGGGACAGATAAGTTGAAAGTAAATGATGAAAACTAATACACTATGAAAATATTAGCCAAAAAAGATAGGGTTAATATATTAATATCAGGCAAATAATAACTTAAGGCAGAAAGTATTGCTAGATAAAAGAGGACCATTTCACAATAATAAAAGAACTATTTGAACAGAAAGATGTAATAATTCTAAATGTGCACGAACATTTAGAATGATTGCTGGAGTTGGCGCATACCAACTCACAGGAGGTAGTTATAAACATCTCTTCCCAATACAGTATTCCCAATGTGATGTCACATTGGTAACTTAAAATTGACCATATCATGAGTATTTACACCATGGGTATTGGCAAATTCTACAAATCAAGACTCTTTCTTTTCCTTTTTTTAAATTAAAAAAATTTTTTTTATTGTTATGTTAATCACCATACATTACATCATTAGTTTTTGATATAGTGTTCCATGATTTATTGTTTGTGCATAACACCCAGTGCTCCATGCAGAACGTGCCCTCTTTAATACCCATCACCAGGCTAACCCATCCTCCCCCCCCGCCTCTAGAACCCTCAGTTTGTTTTTCAGAGTCCATCATCTCTCGTGGTTCATCTCCCCCTCCGATGTGGTATATATATACAATGGAATATTATGCAGCCATCAAAAGGAATGAGATCTTGCCATTTGCAATGACATGGATGGAACTGGAGGGTGTTATGCTGAGCGAAATAAGTCAATCAGAGAAAGACATGTATCATGTGACCTCACTGATATGAGGAATTCTTAATCTCAGGAAACAAACTGAGGGTTGCTGGAGTGGGGGGTGGGGTGGGAGGGGTGGGGTGGCTGGGTCTTTTCCTTTTTTTTTTTTAAATAGTTGATTGTTATACATTTGCCAGCATACCACTGTACATAAACCTAATAATATGTCTTCAAGATATAACAGAAGTAAAAGAAGTAAACAAATCCATCCTCATAGCTTGAGATTTAAATACACTTCTCCAAGTATTTGATAGAAAAGCAGATAGACAAATAAGGATATAGAATATATGAACATTATTTTTTTTTAAGAGAGAGAGAGAGAGGGATAGCAAGTGGACGGAGGAGGAGACAGGGAGAAAGAATCCTAAGCAAGAATCCTAAGCAAGCTGCACACTCAGCATGGAACCCAACATGGAGCTCGATCTCATCACCCTGAGATCATGAGCTGAGCTGAAATCAAGAGTCAGATGCTTAACCAACTAAGCCACCCAGGCGCCCCAAATATATGAACATTTTTAACCAAATCGACCTTTTTTATTGTCATAGAATGGAACCTTCAGCAGCCGCAGCTACAGATTCATTCCAATTACACATGGAATATTCACCAAAATAGACTATAAGCAAGGCTCAACAATTCAAAAGATTGAAAATCACTCTAAGTATACACCTTGACCACTAGACATTGTTAACAGAAAATAACTGGAAAAATCTCAAAAGTTTTGAAGTTAAGTAACACTTTTAAATCACTCATGGGTTAAGAAGAAATCACAATACATATTAGAATACAACTTGAACTAAACAATAATGAAAATATGCTATATATCAAAATTTGTGGG